ATTTTTATGTGGTGCTGTGAATTGAACTCATGTGCTAAGTGAGTGTCCTACCGCTGAGCCACAACCCCAGCCCCTCATTGTTCTTTAATTTTTTCCTGTGGGCCCAGTAACCACTAATTCACTTGATGTTAAAAATTTGCAGCTTTTGGCATGACTGATGAGCTTCATGTTTTTTCAAAAGTAGAGTTTTTCAAACTCTACTTTTCTTACCATTAACATTTTATAATTTCCACTTTTTAAAATGAAATTGCAAGAATAAAATGTAATAAAGCATTAAAAGTATTTGAGTACTACCTTGCTGTGGAAACAAAATGATAGTGCTTCTGCATTTGGAAGGCGGACTTTACAGGTTCTAGTTGAAAATGTTTATTTGTTCACTAAAGCATAAAATTTTAAAATTGAAGTAAAACAGGCAAGATTTAGGAATATCAGTTTGAAAGTATGCTTTGTATGAAAGACAGGCATTGAAAGTTGTCCTTATAGTACCAGAATAATAGGTACTGAATGAAAAAAGAGAAATGGGAGACTCACATTTGGAAGTGTAGAATTCAGCCAATGGCCCTAATCCAGCTCACTCATTGCCTAACAGTCAGTGAACAATCCAGAGTTCCCATTCAACCACCTTACGATATGTATGTTGAATCTCTTGCCAGGTTATTAATTAAATTCCTTTATTAATGTCCACCAAACACGTTCTTTTTTTTTAATGCCTTTATTTTATTTGCTTATTTTTATGTGGTGCTGAGGATGGAGCCCAGTGCCTCACGCATGCTAGGCAAGCCACTGAGCTAGAGCCCCAGCCCCTCCACCAAACACGTTCTTGAGGCAGTGTTTTAGAGTATGGTAGGCTTCTTGAATGGATTTTTACTGAATGTACTTTTGGTTTATGTCTTTACAAATTATTTTTTATTTCATATGAAATTTAAGAAAGTAGTTTCTATCCTATTTTGAAGTATATAATGATAAGTACAAAATTGATTTAGCATTTGATCAGTTTTAAAAGTTTTTCCAGGGCTTTTGTTATGTATGAAGTTCTTTACTGGATGGTTATGATTAAGGTCAACACTTGAATTCAGCTATTGATCATGCATGACCTTTTTTGTTCTCTCCATTAGAAAATATTAGTGTGTGTGTGTGTGTGTTTGTGTGTGGCGGGGTGGGGGAGTGCTGGGGATCGAACCCAGGGCCTTGTGCATGCAAGGCAAACACTGTACCAACTGAGCTACATTCCAAGTCCCAGAAAATATTAATTCTTAAATAGCACTTTTTAGAGTATATGCATCCTACAACAAGTTCCTCCTAAAAATGCCACGTTTATGTGGTAATTATAGTAAATTTTGTGCATTGTGGCCAGAAACGTACATAGTTAGAAAGCTAAATGCCTTGGAGGAATTTCCTTTTAGACTTATTTTGATTTTGAAATGAGCAAATGTCTTTCCTTTCTTCTCCTTCTATGAAACTTAGATGAGAATCTTCCAGAGCTCATTACTGTCTTATGTTAATGAACACTAATTCTTTACTCTCAGGATACTAGCAATTTCCTTTGTAAAAAAAGAAAGACCTACATTGTCACTGGCAATTAAATCATCTATTGCATTTTAGAACTTTCTAACATAGGCCTTGTCTGAAGAATAACAGCTATAGGTATCATTGTTTTTAAGAATATGTTTTGACACCTAATGGTACTGTTTTTTAAAAAAAAAATTTAGACTAGGTTTAAACATTTTTAAAACTTCAAAGCTTGAGAGAGTCTAGATTTTTTTTCTTAGGACATATTTGAAAATCATTATAGTAATTTTTTTTCCAGCACTGGGCATTGAACCCAGGACCTCCCACATCCTAGACAAGTGCTGTACCACTGAGCTACACTTCTGGTCCTGAAAATCATTATAAATAGCTGCTTATTAATGCTGTTTTTAAGATTATAATGAAAAATAAGTCTGGCTTTTGTTTTAATGTAATATATCATGAATTTTAAAAATTCCACATATTCCACATACAATTTGTTATACAGTTATTTCATGTACTTTAGATTAGTTTTTTAATGAAAACTATATTTTTTCTTCATTTACTTTTTAAATGTTTAATAATTGACCTGTAAAATAAAGCAATTATTTCTAAGTAGAGCAAAAATTTTACATTATTTTTAAATATTTATTTCATTTAATCATTTAGTTGCTGTCTTTTATTGATATGGCTTATTTCAAGTGGTTTATATCCTTCATTTTCCCATTTTCTCCTACTACTTTTTTATTCAAACTAAATATAAAAATTATATTTTGTATTTTCTGTATAGCAACTTAATCCAAATCAAACATCACTATATTTTCTTTAAAAATCTCAGTAGAAAACTTTGTGCTTCAGATAAAGTTGTTTCTTAAACATTACCAATTCAGAGACATCATCTTATGTCTTCTAATAACTATGAAGTTCACATTCTATTTTAAGTGTTTTTACAATAAATTGTCCATTGAAACTGGTTGTCCATTATTATCATTCCATCATATATTTCTTTCTTTCTGGTTTGGTCTGGGGATTGAACCGAAGTCCTCGGGCATGCTAAGCATCTCTATCACAAATTTCATCCCCCAACTCTAAAAGTTCTTTATAAAATATTGATAAATGAACTTTGAAATATTCCTTTGGGGATAAATTTTTGGTTCCTTTAAGGAAAATATGAGCATATTTTTTCCCATAATATAATACTGTTAGTGCTTTGTTTGAGCTGTGATTATTTACTTCATATCACAGATAAACTAAGACTCTGGAATAAGGTCATATATTGTATTTCTCCTTGAAATGTATGTTATTAAAGGATTTCTTCTAAGAGTGAAGTGCATCAAAGATGCAGGAAATGTAAGTGAGCAGATGTGGGAACTAAAAGTCTTATGGGGCAGATGAATCTCCATATTTAATTGAACTACTTAAATCCTGATCAGATTTAGGTGTAGTTTATATGTAAATAAGATAGGTAATTCTGCATTGTTAAGTAGCCATTTTCTCCCCTCCCCCCATCTTTTTTTCCCACCTTTGAGAGACTTGAAACCAGACAAATACAAATTCTGGTTGAATTAATATGTTTATTCAAGTTTTTCTGTTGCTAAATATGATTATGTAGGTAGAAGTTTATTGTTTTTGCTTGTGATTCATGTTTTCATTTGCTCTGTCAATTTCATCTTTAAAGCAGGGTATATCACTTATGTTCTTTTTTTCTAACAAAAACGAAATCCTTGCTTTAAAAAATATGTATAGCAGATTCTAAGAGATTATACAAATATTCAGTTCCTTGAAGCCAGAAGTTACTCATAAATATTTCATATTCACATGTTATTTGGGAGGTGATGATTTAGCACTTTTAAAAAAATTTTTTTGTAGTTGTGTATGGACAGCAGGGCTTTATTTTATTTGTTTATATTTTTATGTGGTGCTGAGGATCAAACCCAGTGCCTCACGAATGCTAGGCAAGTACTCTGCCACTGAGCTACAGCCCCAGCCCATCGTGATTTAGTACTTTTTAAAAGCCCCCAATAGCTGGGTACAGTTGGCACGTGCCTGTATTCCCAGTAACTAGGGAGCCTGAGATAGAAGGATCATGAGTTTGAGGCCAGCCTTGTATTGTAGCTCAGTGATAGAGTGCCCCTGGGTTCAATACCCAGTATCAATCAGTTATTCAGTCCCCCAATAATGTATTAATTCATTGATTGTCAGTGATTTATTTTTCCAGCTTCAAGTGAACTCTCTAAATGGAAAATGCTTGAGTATATTTACCGCAGAAGGGAAATAATGCCAATAATAATAATATGAAAAAAATAATAGGAGAAGCCTGGCTCCAGAGTCTACCCTCTCTTCATATATCTAAGCTGTTTTTCTTTATGACCTATTTATAAATCCAAACATTTTCTTATGTTAAGTAGTTATTATATTTTACTGCCTTACATGATGCTGTTCACTAAAATAAACAAAACAAAAACAAGAAACCTTTGATAATTTTGCTTTGTTTTTGGTAACAGTTGTTGAAATTGTCTTGTTTTTTTTTAATTTTTTTTTGTTTTTAATTGTAGATGGACACAATACCTTATTTTGTTTATTTTTTTATGTGGTTCTGAGGATCGAACCCAGTGCCTCACTACAGAACCACAACCCCAGCCCCTGAAATTGTCTGTTTTTATTTTAATTTTCATTAAAAAATCTTTGGAGATGGAGTTTTGCTGTGTTGCCTAGACTGGTCTGAACCTTCTGTGCTCAAGTGATTGTCCTGCCTCAGCCTCCTTTGTAGCTGGGACTATAGGTGTGTACCACCACACCCATCTCCCAGTCTTTTTCTGTTTATCTTGATAAAGTATAGATGGAAACCCATAATAAATGAAAAGCATAACATAATTTTAAAGAAAGTAGAGATATACAAATTTTAATACCTAAATTTGGGGATAAGAATGTCAAATTCTGTTATTTGTTCTATTATTTTTTCACATAGCATGAGTCTCAATTGCTATTTTGAAAAGTGCTGTGTCTATTTTAATTGAAGCCATCGCTTATTTTGTTTCTTCATCTGGTAGTGCTGGGGATTCGACCATGTTAGGCAAGCACTCTACCACTGAGCTATATCCCCAGCATAAAGCCATAACTCTTTTTTTATGAGAAGAACAATATTTATTTTGGTTCACAATTTTGGAGATTTCAATCTTTTGGCTCATTGCTTTCAGGTGGGTGTCTAGGCACTATATCATGATGGGGAGCTCATGGTTGAACACGCTCCAGTGCCTTCACTCTTAAAGTGAGCAATGCCATCTATATTTGAAAAATTGAATCTCTGCTGATTATAATCAGACAAATAGAAAAAGTAATGTTGCTGTTGTAAACAAAACCACATATTTACTCTTTCAAGTACATTAAACATGAGGCTGTTCATTATAGTCAGTCTACATGGAAGCAAAAATTAATATGTAATGAGATTGCCATAGTGAACTCAAGTCTGATTCAACGTTTCAGGAAGTTCTTTGAGCTGGGAGTATAACTCAGTAGTAGAGCTCATGCTTAGCACTGAGGTCCTGGGTTTACTTCCCCATCAGAAAAAAAGTTAATTCTTCACACCTGCTGGAATTTTATGTTTTGCTTTTAGTCACAGATTTTCCCATTTTCTTTCTCACCCAGTTCTTTCAATTACTTTCAAAACATTTTCTCAGTTTTCTCTCTTCTGACGATTTAGCAACTTTAGTTCTTTTTCCACACAGTAACCCTAAAATCTAGCTTTGGTGTCTGGAATATTTCCCAAGGCATTTCATTTTGAGCACTCAGTATTTGACAGCCATATGTGAATGATTATTAGATATTATAAAGCATGCTGAATTGAGTGTGAAAAATATAACTTCATGCATTGGTGTACTTGTTGTGTAATAGAGCAGTATGAAAAGAGTGTGGACTTGAGATAATCATATATTCATTCAAATATGGGCTTTACTGCATAATTGATGGGTAATTTTGGGCAAGAGACCTGTTAACCTCTGAGTGTCAGTTTCACTCTGTAAAATTGGAACATTAGGTAAAGCACCTGGCTCTACAGATTGTAGCTGTTTTGCATGACTTTGAGCCCTTTACTCAATTTATGGAAGGAATTATCTGCTAACATGTGAATTATCTTCTTTCTTAGTTTATATGAAATGCTACATCTTACCCTATGCACAGTTGTTCTCTTCATGGTTTTTTCCTTCCAATTTCAATCAGCTAAAAAAATCTCTTTGTGCCATGTTGGTAGTGAGTGATTTGCCTGGGTTAAATTTGCCTGGTCCATTAACCAAAGAGAGACCTCTGGTTTGATTTCTTGTATCTGAGCTGTCCTGTGTTCACAGCAATTTATCTCACTCCCATGTTGTAAAATCCTTTGAGCCTCTGTCACATCAATACCAGCTGTTGACTTGTTAATTGCTGAAAGCATCTATTTTTTTGTCCAGAACTTTTATAACACTACTAAACTTGGTTTGAAAATGATGGTAAGTTCAGGTCAAATTTTATTTTACAACCAGTGAAATTATTTATTGAAAAAATTCTTTAAAACGTAAACTGTTCCCTCAAATGCCAGCCATGATGGTCTTTTTTTACCTGTGTGGGTAGTACTTCATTTAGGGCATCATAATTTTGGAGGACACCTGTTTATAAGTAGTCATTCTGAACTCATTCAAATTTGTTTTATATGGGTGGCAAAACAATCAATTTATTATGAGGTGAAAAATATACTAACATCCATGAGATGTGAGACACCTTATAGGAAACTTAGAGTTCCTTTTATAGAAACGGGAAGTTTTTCTACCACAATACATTTCTTGTTAGGAAGATTAGGAATTGCATTGTTATGGTAGTTTGTTTTATTATGCCTAATGAGTCATATCTAAAACATTTTTGTTTTCCTCATTTTTTTATTTCCAGGTGTTCAGTGGTATTTGTATAGGCTTTAATTGCTCCTTTATGTGTTATTATTTGTGAGATATATATATAGGTAGGTAGGTAGATTTGGGAGTATTTATTCATATAATCAAACAATGTTTTTTTTTTTCTTTTTCTCATCTTCTGATCAGGATTTCTGGCAGGTACTGACTCAGCAGCATGTGCTTTAATTTAATTAATGCTCCAGAATCCATAGTAATGCTTCAGAGACAAAGGTTTACTGCATGCCCATGTCCTTCCCCTGCTCTTTTCAGAATGATTCAGTTCCTGTCACTTTAAAATAACATACTTTAATGTGATATTCAAATGCTACACAAGTCCTTGAGAATATAGTAACCAGCATAATTTAAAGGGAAGACTTCACACAAGTTAGAGTTGCTATACAAAAGATCAAGAAATATTACTTTTAGTAACTATATTGTTTGAGAAATTCATTAATTGGAGTATTTACATAGTCTTATTGGGGATGTCTTATTCCTACCTGAAATGTAATAGCAATGAAAAACAATAGTAACAAGTTAAAAATTAATAGTTGTTTTTTTCCTTTAGAAATTTCTTACATAGTAAATGTAGATAAGCAGTTGCTTAGTTGCACTTTGCTCAATTAAGTGACTTAAGAGGAAACACATGGACTATTTAGAAATACTTCATTATTTTGTTCTTTTGAGCTAATCAATGACTTTAACTTGGAAAAGCCAGCAAACATATGGAGAAAACCATATAAAAATATATATATTTATAGCCTGGCAAAGGAGACTGTCAAAGATACTACAAACAAATTCTTTTTAAGTTGATCTTCAGATGCTTGGTCTCTTTAATTGTAGTTTGCAAATTATTAAAGTTTATTTATTAAGGAAATTACCCTTGTGTTTTTGTTGTTTGGCAGTCTTTTTTAAAAATATTTTAAATTTTTATTTTTTGGAACCAGGGATTGAACCCAACCAAGAGTGCTTAACTACTGAGCCACACCCCTGACCTGTTTTTAATTTTTTTATTTTGAGACAGGGTCTGGCTTAGTTGCTTAGGGTCTCGCCAAATTGCTGAGGCTGGCTTTGAACTTGTGATCCTCCTGTCTCAGCCTCTGGAGCCACTGGGATTACAAGAATGTGTCACTGTACCTGGCTGGTTGGCAGTTTTAATAAAAACATAAATTGAATTAAAAATCTCTTTTGGACTTAAAATAATGATATAACTAATTAAGACAACTGGATGCTCTTTCTTTTTATAGTAAACTTTTTCAGCGCTCTATTCTTAGTACTTCTCATACCAAGTCCCCAAACCAGTCATCCTATTACTCATGCAATAGGTTATCTTCCTAAATATCTTTGCTTTTAACTGTATTCTGAAATAAACTACCAAATGCTTTAAAATTATATCAAAATAATTTATTGATTTCATTATCAATGTTTCTAATCCTGTGGAGTCTATTTTAGAATACTATGTTTTAAACATTATACTGAGTGCTAAGGAGAGTTAAATCACATGAGATGCTAACACCTGTCATTTGAGGATAGCCACTTCCAACTCTCTAATTATGGTAGGATTGTTTGTAGAAGTGAGCTTTTAAAAACTCACTTTTCCTTAGTAATTGTATGGATTAAGACTGAAAGATTTAAAATGACTTGAAAATGATTGAAAATCAGGTTTTATGGTGCTCACTTCAGTAGCACATACACTAAAATTGGAACCAGACAGAGAAGATTAACATAGTTCCTGTTCAAGGAAGACACACATTCATGAAGCATTTATATTTTTGATCATCAATCTTTTCCTATACCTGTTACAGTTTTTATAGTCATTTGATAAAAAGTAACTGAAGGGGCTGGAAATATTGCTCAGTGGTTGGGCATTTGCCTAGCATGTGTAAGGACCTGAGTTTGATCCTTAGCACCTATAGTCCCACCTACTTGGGAGGTTGAAGCAGAAGGATCACTTGAGCCCACAAGTTCTGGACCAGTCTTTGCAATATAGACCTTACCTCAAAAAAAAAAAAAAAAAGCAATATATAGAATCCTGGGTGTGGTGGCATATGCATGTAACCTCAGCTACTCAGGAGGCTGAGGCAGGAGGATTTCAAGTTTGAGACCAGCCTCAGCAACTTAGTAAGAACCTGGCTAAAAGTAAAAAGGGCTAGGATGTAGCTCAGTAGTATCTCAAGGTTCAATCTTTAGTACCATAAAACAAACAAACACACACACACACACTTTGATAAAGTTAGAAATATTTTTAAAAAAATCAAATTCTACTGTATTCTTAAGGGTATCTTGTGAATAATTTTTTTTTAGAATACTGAGGGAATTGTTTATCTGTATGAGGTTCTGTAAATATCATTCATTCTGATGACACTAGTATGAATTGTTTAACGTCCTGAAGGCCAATGAACCTTATAGAAGAGGCCTTTCTTGCTTGCTTCTTTGCAGAGATTTGTTCTTTGCATGCCAAGTTTCTATTGCCTGTGGAAAGGCTAGAATCAAAGGCTTGAAAGCATAGATTGCTGTTCTTCAGATGCAGCTTATTAATGGTTTCAGATACTTACTGTATTGCTGTGAGGAGCATCCATGTCTCTTTCCAGTCTCTCAAGTTCCACCATGTATTTGATTATTCAAGTTGACAAAAGAGATAATAATGTATTAAGTACTCCAAAAGAGGAGGTCATTTCTTGGTTGTTGGACTCCTATTAAGATGTCTTTAAGTACATTTTTATTTTAGATTATGTTATGTTTGAGTTTGAGATCAACTGAACCCATTTGGTTTATCATTGTTGATTTGCAAGCATAACATGACTAACCATTACATTTCAGACACCTTTGTGTTTAGCTTTTTCATCATAAAACAAGATTTGAAATTCACTTTGACAAAATAGAACTTTATTCCAGACCAGCTTGCTTTTTCATATTACTTTAACACAAACACTAGTAGTATGTTTTACAATTACACAAATAAGTTTCTCTAAAAACTGCCCTGAACAAGTAGCTGTTCTTTCAGTAACAGATTTTCAACTTAGTGTAAATATTTGTTGTCTTTAGTTGTTGAGAATATGTGAGGAGAGTTCTTGCTTTGTAAATTTGTCTTTGGCATGATGCATTTTCAGAAGTTCTAAATTTGAATAATAAGTTTTTACATTTACAGATTAATATATGTTGAGTATAAATGACCATTATATTCTTGAAGTGGTGTACATTTCAAAAATGATTAAAATATGCATTTAAATAAGTGAAGACCTAAAAAAAAATTATATGCCTAATAATCATTGGCTCAGGCTTTCCTCTTAAAGTTAGCAGATAAAAGTTATGCCCCAAGGTTAAAGTTTTACAAGTGAACTGTTTTGCTTCAAAATAATTAGTCCTTATTAATATTTTCAGAAGTTGAAAACAGTACAGGTACCCTGTGTTGTCCTTTGGGGTTGATATAAGGTAACATTCAGTGGTTCATGGCATGGGCTATGGAGTCAAACCATGGACTATCTTACTTCTATATAACATTGTCACTTGAGGTACTTATTTAACTTTTATAAATGTGACATGCAGATAATAGGATCACTTACCTCATAGAGTTACAATGAGGACTTACGAGAATTCAGGTGTAAAAGTTGTTAGCATAGTGCCTGGCACAGAATCTGAAAAGTATAATTCTTAAATTATTTATGTATCTTTAATGGCCAGAGGTATTCAAGGGATACTTATAAATGTTTGATTTCAAAATTAATATAAAAATTTTTGATCTGAAGAGTTTCCTGGGAGATGATAGTTGCTAGAATAGTATAAATTAAGTGTGTAAACAGTGGTCCTCAGTGAACCTTTTTTATTTTTTTCTTGTAATATTATTTTCCAAATGGAAGAAAGTGAAATTACTATATTGATTTGTTTTCAAAACTTATGCTTGAGATTGTTTTTATATTAAGTGATAGGGAAGCCTTTTATAACCTTGTGACTAAAGGATTATAGATATGTGCTGTTAAGCTCATGAGTGTTCTTTTCAGCACTGATCTATTTGACTAAAGTTTAGAGTTAATTTCTTAGATTTAGATAGCAAACAATCAAGTGATGAAACATGAATTCTCACACTTAGAACTGATTTGATGCAGTGCATAGGCATAATATGGTAGAACAAAATAGAGCTGATTTTTTCTCCCAGAGTTTTGATAATACCTCATCAGATACTGAACATTAAAATAAATCATTTCAAGCCAGGCACAGTGGCACATGCCTGTAATCCCAGCAACTCAGGAAGCCAAGGCAGGAGGATCGTGAATTCAGAGCCAGCCTGAGCAACTTAGTGAGGCCCTACACAACTTAGTGAGACCCTTGCCTCAAAATAAAAAACAATTAAAAGGACTGGGGATGTCGCTCAGTGGTTAAGCACCCCTGAGTTCAATCCCCCGTACCAGAATAAATAAATAAATAGTAAATAAATCATGTCAATAAAGTTGTGTCATTTCCTCAAGTTAATATCATTACAGTGGGTTTTTTTGAATTTTTATTATTGCTTTAATCAAATCATCTGCTACTATTTAATTTTTTAAGCATCTTCATTTTTATCATTTTCTCTGAAGCCACCTAGCTAATGAAATAAAACATTTTATCATAGATATTTGGAATTGTTCTCAGAGCTCAGGTGGTTAGAATTGGGACTGAAAAGAGAATTGCTTTCTGGCAGAGTGAAGTTTACACTATCTTAAGCATTCATCTTCCTCAGTTTATTGCATAGTAATTTATGTTTGCCTCAAATACAATATACCTTTGAAAGACTTAGAAGAAAGTCTTAAGTCAGAAGGGGAAACCACAAATTACTCAGTTAAAAAATCTCAGTTTTATTTTTATCTGACATATACCCCCATTCTACCTTCCTACAAGTTCATGTATAGGGTGGGGGAGAAGAAAAACATATTTTAGCTATGCAAAATTTTGTTTGGGAGTAATATGATTGCTTAAGATTGATATCTTACCAAGGCTTTGGCATCTATATTCACCAATAAGATAATGAAGTATGAGCATTAATTGCATGGGAAAATTGCTGAATTTTCTCTTTTTAACACTCTCCCCCCTTCCTGTGCTAACCCCAGCAATAGGTAGAAATACTACTTTGTAATTTGGAAATGGTATGCCAAAATTGCATTTTCCAGCAGCAGCATATTATCATTGATTTGTTTTAGAAGTACAACCTTAGATATTACTTGAGGGATTTGAAATGTGTTTCAGCAATATAGAGAAATGTTAATATTAAAATAATTATAATAAATGTTAATGTTAAGCTAAACTGAAGATTTCAGCTTCACAAAGGGTGTCATCTTAATCCAAATAGTAAGGCTGTATTCTTTACCAGATTTTCTATATATCAAAGATAATTTTATTTATTTGGCAAACATAGTCCATTAACTTCTGTTAGATTGAAAAAGTTTATAGAACTTGAAAAGTGGGTCTTAACTAGAAGAAATATTATTAAATTTTAGATATAAGTTTTCTCTTTGGCTTCATCCAGTTGAGTTCAAGAAGGCCTTAATCATTGTCCCTATTTTGATCAACCCCATAACTAGCTAGATTCATTGAGCACATGGAATACTTATAAGTTGGAATCTTGTCAAGAAATCCCAGTTTTAACCTCCATTTAGAAGTTTATATGTGATGTTTACCTGTGGAGAAAACTGATCTAAAATTTAGCCCAACAGTAAAGATTTAAGTCAGGCATTTTACTGAATTTTCATTTTGCAAAATTGAACAATGATTAAGAAAAACTAACCAAAACTTTCTCTGTACTCGGTTCTTTTAATCTTGATTTGGCCCCTCATGCCACCTGCAGCTTTAGGCATAGATTTATAAGTTATGTAGTTGATCAGAAATCAACCTGTGGTGCTTCAGCACAGTCATGCAGTAAAGTCAGGTTTTGGACTCACTGAAATGTAGCATTTACATGGACATGGAGGATGGTTTACTATATAATAAATTGACTCCTAAGTCTGTTTATCTAAAAAGAGATTCAGTATATGTTATGACTGAGTTCAGTGCTAGATGCCTTATGAGGGGTATTTATTTTTTTGCCTTTACTTGAGAATGGTAATTTGAATGTCTGTTGCTATGTTTCAAATTTTGAAGTGAATAAGACTAGATTATAAGTGAATGAGAAAATAGTTATATTTTGTTTATATAAGTCAGATGAACTCATTGTTTTGAAATATTTTGCATAATTTCTTTTCCAGAATAAAATAACATTTGTCACTAAATTGAACAGGAGAGCTGTTCTGATAATTGACCTGCATTCTGCTTTCACATCCTTAATTTCAGAAATTCAGGTTATAGGAATATAATTTTATGTGTAATTTCTATGCTGCATAAAGTAATGTAATGCTTTGTAAGTTATCTATACTTAGAATCTCTCTTTAAAATACCTAGTTATGTTTAAATAATTTTCAGCATATATTTTGAAGTATTACAAGAATCTTTTTAAAATTTTTTACTTGTTCTTTTTAGTTATGCATAACAATAGAATGTATTTTGATATATCATACATCCATGGAGTGTAACTTCCCATTCTTGTGGTTGAACATGATGTGGAGTTACATTGGTTGTGTATTCATATATGAACACAGGAAAGTTATGTCCAATTCATTCTATTGTTTTTCTCATTCCCATCTCCCTGCTCTACCCCCCACCCCCATCCAATCTGGTGAACCTCTACTCCTTCCTCCTGCACCGCCTATTATGACTTAGCGTCTACATATCAGAGAGAACATTTGGCCTTTGGTTTTTGGGATTGGTTTAT